CGGTGCTATAACCAAGTTTGCTGTGACCTCAATATTTCAACAAAGAACGATCTGTTTTCGGTGAAACTTCCAGGATATTCTAGTGTCTATGAGATCTATTTACTGACAAAGTTTCACGCCAAAATTCATTAGTTCAGTTTTTTCGACAAGCACGGTCCCAAGGTAAAAAAGCCAGTAAAATTACCATAACTCCATAACAACAGGGCATAGGCCCGAGTTATTGTGTAGATGTTCTAGTCTCGAGGCTCTCTACTCGTGGTAAAAGTATGAGCTCGACCGGCGATTATCACCTAGGGAGGTTCCCTCGTAAGTACATTCTCTCGATGCGGCTTAGTCATAACTGTCTTGTTCAGAACTCTTCCCCGAAATGAATGCATATACTTAGGATATACCAAAAGTTCTGATCGTGGAAATGTGAGCTAGTTTCTTCTCCCTGTGACCAGACCTTCTGATGAACTCATATAGCACAAGATATGCAGCGAGAAGAGCTCTACAATTTGCACAAGACTACTTTTTCTAGTACTCCCTCTTTTTCTTCCCAAAAGCGACACAATTCTGAGCGACCAATCCTTGATGCTGCAAAAAGTAGCCCTTGAGAATTATTGCTTTCTTTTTAAACAAAAAGTACACAGCTAGAATAAAGTTGTTTTATACGAAATGTTGGACTTTTCACGCTGAATCTTGTGCTTGCATATTCAATTTTTCTTAAGGAAGTGTTTTAGATGATAGAAAGGTGAAATTTGAAAAAAGGACTCTCTCCCATGTTTTCTATTGCGATTGAATTGCGTCGCAGTTGCGCGTAACTGTAATCGTACTGTGACGCGTAATTGCGAAAAACTGCGGCACAACTACGCGTAACTACGAAATTTCCGGCGCAACTGCGACGCAATCGCTAAAAAACAGGCAACATGGCCTCATTCGTGTAGAATGTTTTACAGTGTCGAAAGTTAGTCACTCAGATCTGTGTAGCTTTTTGAAACAAGAGTAGAATTAGAAAAAAGCGCTCTTGCATAAATTGTAGAGCTTTTCACACTACATCTTATGATATAAGAGTTGATCAAAAGTTCTCATCACTGGAGTGAGAGGCTACCTCTCATTTTCATGGTTAGAACTTTTGATATACCCTAAGTACTTCATATACTTTTCCAAAAATGAATATTTCCCAATGTTTCAGGTACTCTGTTAACGGATCGTATTGGTCGCAATATGGTGCATTTGAACTATGAACAAGAACGTCATGAAGCCAATTTTCGGTATGGGCTCGCTCGACTTCGAGACCACGCCGAATCTGTGGCGTTGTATCGTGGTGAATTTCATGAGAAGGCGTCTTTGACGACTCTGTTTTCTGCACTTATGTCAAACTTTCGCGAGATAATGCGTTGTTCACTTCTTCTGAATTGTTTCTCGTATTCGTTTACTCAAATATCGGATGTCTTTCCGTATCTGGTCGCTTCAACTCGTTACTTCTCGAAGAAGATCACTCTCGGCGATCTGACACAAATACGATCGGCTTTTGGACATGTGCAAATGTCACTCTCGTTTATCATCACATCTTACCTCGGAATTGCTCAGTGGCGAGCAGCAACAAAACGACTAATCGATTTAGCCAACACTTTGAAGAATCTACATGCAGCAAAGCAAAATTCCAAAATCAAAATCATACGTACATCGAAAAAACAGAATATTCGAGTAGAAGAATTGACTGCGCAATTTCCAGCGAGAACTACTGCTGATTGCCCAGAAATACTCATAGAAAACTTCAATTGGGTTTTTGAACCGCGTCAGTCTGTGCTGATCACGGGTGAGAGACAATAATCATAATCACGTTACATTCGAGTGAATCTTGCTTCTGAAATAAGATCACTTGTAAGAATATAGAATATTCTTGATCAATCATTTCTTTTCTATATATTTAAGGTGAATCTGGCTGTGGAAAATCCACTCTTCTTCGAATTCTTGCTGGTATTTGGCCGTATGGTCGCGGAGCAATCACGATGCCAGGTCACGATACAGTTGAATTTGTTCCTCAAAAGCCATATTGTCCACTCGGATCTCTTCGTAATTGTTTAACTTATCCATCCCTGACGCTGTCCTCATCGACGGACGATGCAAATATCCAGCGCCTCTTGGATCTTTGCCAGCTCAAATCATTGACAAATCGTCTAAATGATAGTGAGGATTGGTCTCTCGTTTTATCATCGAGCGAACAACAGAAGATGATTTTCGTTCGAGTTCTTCTTCATCAACCGAAATGGATCTTTTTGGATAAAGTGACATCGTCACTAGATGAGCCATCTGAAACACATCTATATTCATCTTTATTTAAAGAACTCGGTCGTCGTTCGACAATCATCAGTGTTGGACATCGGAAGAATTTGCGACAATTCCATGATATTCAACTACAATGTGTTGATAAAAAAATCATACGAGTTAATGCACTTCAGAACCCGTGTAAAAAGAAAAGTAGAATAAACTAACTTTTTCAGCTTTTTCCACTTTCATTAGTGACTTTTAGTACTTTGTGCAGCAGTTGCAGAATTCCTATCCAGCAGAATTTAGAATTTTGTAGACTTATGCATTTTGTGAAACACGATCTGAAAGAGAGTGTTGAAGTATATAGGTAGAAAGTGAATTTTGCCCAGCCTCCCCCC